TGGGTGTTGTGCACGAACAATGAATCATGGAACACTTCATCTAGAACTAGTGATGTAATGTATGGGGATTAACATAAGAATAAAAAAAAAAAAAGAAAAGAAAGGCGAGTGTACCAGAGGTTGCTTCCCAAAGCTTCTAGAGCTTTAACTATGAGTGGGTTAAAAAAGAGCAACAGAATCAAATACCCCTGTCTTAGATAAGTACTATAACTCAAAATTCAAAAAGAAAATTCTCTGAATCTTCCAAGTCAAAAGTTAGAACAAACAGATGAAAAGCCAATAAACCAGAAAAGCACTATTAGCATTTTGAAATAGTATTCTGCTGCTGCTGGATAAAGTTCTGTATCCTCAGAAGTCTTAATGACACAATAACACATGTCATTGTGTCTAAGACATGAAATAGGATACATAACTATTGAAATACTGGGCATCAGGGAAAAATGCATCTGTATAAAACTAATTCTGGGAGAGAATGACTCTCAGATGTCTGGGTGTACAGTAGCAGGGGAGAGGTAAAGACAGAAAAATGAGAGTCATGCCAACAGCAGAGAAAAATGGATTCCTGCAACCGTCTCCTTCAAACCCCATGGAATAAGGCTTCAGAGTCCTCACAGAAAATAACCAACATGCTAAGGTCTTCCTAAGTTCCTGGCCTCACTGCACTTTTTGGAGTCTCTTTCCTATGTTTCTAAGGCAATAAATATATTTTTTGCCAATTCCCCATTGTTGGGGAAGTGATGAAGCTTCAGGAGCCACATGGATGCTCCTAGGCGTGAGCTAAGACCCCTGTGAGCGTGCAGTGGGGAGAAAGTGTGAGGGTTGCTTGTGACACTGTTTTTTTATTTGTTGCTGTTTTGTTTTTAAAGAAACCAACTGCTGAGAAAAGCACTTTTTTTCAGAATGATGAAAACTAGACTATTTATCTCCCAGGTTGGCTCACTCATACCTCAGGAATCTTACTACTGCAATTTCTGTTGATAGATTGCTGTTGTACCCATAGTTTGAAACAACTGATAATCCAAAGCAAATAAATAAAGAAAACACCGTATGATCAAGAAAAACACCTTAGGCGGAATAACTGCCTTTTATTAATAAGGTACTAATTCTAAAATATTTAAGCATGCTTCTTGAAAAAGAAAGACCACATCTTAAATTTCAAAACACTGAGGCATGCTCATAAAATAACAACAGCGGTCTCTCTGGCCCATGTCTGTGTTCCTGGCTGTAAAAACCTACAGTTCAAAACCTAGTCCTATTCTATGATCTTTATGTAAAAAAAATAATGCTGATTCTGTTTTTCAATTTTTAAAAGCTACATAAAGATGAACGTAAGTGTATGTGTGTGGAAAATGAATTAAGTTTCTGGGAAGAAATGTGCTCAGCATTCAAACATATTGAAGTATCGGCTCAAAACCCTCAGCTCTTGAGAAGGACACCCAGCCCCTGAAGCCCAGGAGCTTACTCAAGCCAACAGGTGACCTGTTCGTCATGGGCAATACTCGGAAACCTTATAACCCTGCTTCTCCACATGTCTGATCTGCCAGTGGTCATGATTAGCTCTTTCTTACCAGGTCTCCGGTAAAGGCCACCTCCTCTCAAAGACCTTCTGTGACTACTTGGTATATGGCCACCCGCTCTTCAGCACATTGCCTTGAGTTAATTTTCTAACATGTGTCTTCGCTGATCTGCTTACCGACCTTCTCCCCGAACTAGACTCTGGCACTAGTCATTTGCTGTCTCCCGGAGCAGTTACGAATCTGGCTGCCTCCATTTTCAACTGCCATAGTGAATCCCTATGGCACCAAGCCCAAAGCCTGACACACAATACATGTTCGATCAGTATTTGTTTAATAAAACTGTTACACGAAATAGATGTCTGAAGCAATAATTGCTCATTTCCTGCAGAGATGTGAGGAATAAAAGTGCATAATGACAACTTTATTTATGTTGCAATGAGTCTCTGACTTGGTACAATCATAACAGTAAGTTTTAAACTTTCTGGTCTAAGGAAAAACTACAATTGTATTTTTAATCTTACCATCTTAAATCAATTCAGGGGCAGATCTTTATGTAGGATATTATTTTCACTGTAAGTTGCAAAGATACATTCTTTAAATACTGGCTTATTTTCCAAATGAAAAATACAACCACTAACATAACAAGGCTGGTTCCCTTAGATATAAATTGTGTAATTTTTCTTCATGCATTTTTAAAATTTGAAATTTATTTTTATCACTTTTTAACTTTTGTTTAATATTGCGTGGAAGGTAGGAATTCTGTGGTGTGGTCTCAAAGGCAGACTACAAGACTCAGGAACTTAAATCAATCTGTATAGATAAATAGATAATAGATATCTATGCATCTGTATACGTCTGTGTACATACGTGTGTATTTGTGTTATATAGTGTGTATGTAGATATAAACGTGTATAAACACACACATACACATATATGCAGTGTGTGTATATATATGCTGCCTAAGTGCCACTCAGAATTACACAAAATTGGATATACTATGGAAACACTTTTTTCCAAACTATAAGTATATATGCAATAAACAGGCATCAGTGTCATCTCCCACTACTGTAAAAAGTTTCCTTTTAAAGAAATGTTTTGATAAAATAACCATATTTATATGGATACATCAGAAACTCTGAAAAGGGAAAACAGAGAAATTAACAATTTGTGGAGATAAAAAAACGGCCAGAGATTAGTTGGTGGAACAGAAAAGATAAAAAATTTCTGGAAGAATTAAGGAAAATACTCACAGTATTCTTCTGGCAAATGATTTCCTGAAAAATGAGAAAAGAAGAAAAGCAGAAGTTAATACAAAATTAATTCAATATTTAATTAAACTATGTGATGTAGGAAAATGTGTATTAACAATTTTATTAGCAATCAGAAATTTCAGGGAGTATACCATAAATTCCTGTATCGGAGAAATTGACAATCTGATGGAAATGAAAGAACATAAGAGGATTCTCAATGGTTTAAAGGAAACGGTACAAACATATAAAATCCAAAAACTGAATAATCTAAAAATCATTCTTGCAGAGTATGTATGCACAGAATTATTAGCCATGATCTTTTTAGGAAAAGGCTAAAAGAAGTTCAGTTTTCTGATGTACAATATTACTCAAACTCTGGGAGGAGACCATGCACATGCTGTCTCCTGGGAAATAAAGGGTATTGGCTACTTATCAGAGTGGGCAAACCCAACACATACGTAAGATCATCTGACAATAAATAGTCACAAATATAATTTACGTATTGTTCAACAAAAAGTGGAATGTGAGAAATACACTGAAGGCAGTTTCCCTATCTTCTAGGTTGTGAGGAGTGAGTTCATGCAAATAATGTAGCTATACTATGTCAGGTGCATAAAAAGCTCTTGATAAAGCTAGCTCTCATTATCATTATTTCTGGATGTTTAAATGAGTAGAGGCATGGAAGAGACAATCTGGAAAAGCCTATGGCATAAAGGCTTCACTGAGGTTGGGGAATCATGATTTAGAAAGAGAAATGGACAGAATTTTGGAAATGATGGCATGTATGTTGTCATGGAAACAGGGAATGTAGGCTTTTGTGGTGCCTCAAGGGTGGGTCCATCTGGCTAAGAAGAAGAGCCAGATCTGGTGAGGTAAGGCATGAACAGAGGAACAATTCAAAGTCCAGTCAACTGACCATCATTCTTCATCCCAAGATCAACATGGGGGCAAAGGGGAACTGACAAGGTCATTGGCTTAGAGCAGTATATAGGATTTTTGAATGTTTTAACGACAGCAGATGAGTAAATAAAAAGCTACTGAGGAAGGAATGGTGCTGGGTAATTTTGAAAGCCATAATGATATATATAAAATAGTACAAGAGGCCCTTCAATACTTCACAAAAGGAAAAAAAAAGGACACATACACATTTACAAAGAAACAGTTCATGCCTGGGTCCACATGCATATATGTACACACATGGTAAATCGAAAGAGTTATACTACAGTAAGGTCTTGTGTTTTCGAGAGAAAGAGGATGTTACTAAGAAGTAAGGAAGCCTGGGAAGATCAGCAGAGAAGGTGGAACTCAAGGTGAGCCAAGGAAGACAGACAACTTCCAAAGGCAAAGCAGGAAGGTGGAGATCCAAGTTAGATGACCCAGAACAGCAAAGGCCCCTTCAGGGAATAACATATATTTTTATCAGGGGCTAGAGAAGACAGTTCATTTAGTTCATTTTGGGAAGTATAAAGAGAGAGTTAAAGAGGTATTTGAAAAAGATCTTGAGTTTAATCATTAGACTAAGAAGAAAGTTGATTTCGGCATGTACCAACAGTATTAGAAAGTTATTTGGGGCCTTATTGGAGAAAGCCCTGAATGCCAAAATACTTTGTTTTGTGAGTAATTGGCAGTCACACTGTTTTCTAAGGTGAACAATATACATAAAGAAGTATCAGCACACATTGGGACACCGTAACAGCAAAGGCTAGGAACACCATCAATGTCTATCAGCTAGAAACTAGTTGAATAAACTATGGTACATCCAGTCAATGGAATACAATGCCAAGGAAGAACGAGGAAGTTCTTCATGCAGCGATATGGAAAGATCTCCAGGATACACTAAGCCAACTAAGTGAAAAAAAATCAAAGTACAGAATGGTTTTTAACCTATGCTCCTATTTATGTATCAAGGGGAGAAAAAGAAAATTTTAATTTGTACATTCATAAAATCTCTCTAGAAGAATATTCAAGAATCTAACAATAGTGGTTGCCAGTGGAGGGGGAGCTGGCTGGATGGGGGACAAAGATGAGAGAATGACTTTTCACTATATATCCTTTTGCACTTCTAAATTTTTGTATCAGGTAAATATGTTACCCAAGAAAGACAAATACATAAAAGGTAAATCTTGTTAAAGTTTAAAAAAATACTAATTCGACGGTGGTATTTAGTATTGGAGGGAAAAGACCATTTAGGTGGCACTGCAAAAGTTCAGGGACGTCAAAATAAGGGCTTGGACAATAGTGATGCCCAGGGCACAGAAATCAAGAGACGAATGAGTGACATTGTGGAGGAAGAGTCAAAGCAGCTTTTCCTACAGGTATTTCATAGGTAGTGCATCTCTCTTTCTCCACCCCCCTTCCCTGACTCTCCCTCTCTCTCTCTCTCTCTCTCTCACACACACACACACACACACAATCATTCATGAAAAAATAAATACAACAATGCTGGATAATCACAAAACCAGTAACACAGTATGCAGAATTTTCCAAACTTGATTTACGGAGCATCTCTTCAGAGAAGTAAACCATAGTCTTTCGGACACTGCTCTCTTGTGATAGTAACACCCCCCTCTCCTCCCTCCAAGTAACAAGGGAATGTCCTTCTCTTCTTCCTCTACTGCACAATATCCTCTGTGCACTGCATAAGAAGTCCGTTCTCTGCGAAGGTGCCTTCAATGACACCAATCTTCCCAATAGAAGGAGATGATGTCCTTATTTCTGCCACCATTACCCCCTGTTCAGACCTCCATGACAACAACAGAGGTACCAACTGCAGATGCGTCATCATAGGATTCTCCCATCCTACATCCTGAGCATCTCAGGTGTTTTATTCATCTTCATACCCCACTGGTTGCCTAGTAAGTCATATGGCATAGGGTAGGTACTCAATAAAAGCATGACTAAATGAATAAGTTAATGAAAGTATAAAATATTGGGCTATGAATCACAGTAGAAATGTGTAAGTCCTGGCTCTGTCATTTCTCCTCTCTCTAATATAACACACTAAGAGTTGGGTTGAGTGACTGCCCGTCTCTTCCAACTCTGTGTTCTAGCATTTGCTTCTGGCTAAAGGCCTATCACAGTGAGCACTGTCCTTGTGCCACAGGAAGGGGAGATGCTCTCATGCCCAGCGCAGGAGCTACTCTACCAGCACCTCTCTCTTGGCGCACCGGGCCCAGAAATGGAGGTAATAATAAAGGGAGCAGTGGGGAACACTGAGCAGGCTCAAGGCTCCCTCTGCTTGGCCCTACAGAAAATAAGCTGCTGTTGGCTTAGAACCAATATGCTACATCTTCCTGAAGAATGGCTCGTTGGAATAACAAGCCTCTTACATGTCTTCTTTGCTTTCATTTCATTTTGCAATATAACAAATTAGGAAACTGTATTAAAATCACTCCCATGAAAAATCCCTCCGGGAAATAATAAGAAGTGTGTATGAGGGCTATGTTGCACCAGAGACAGGACAGAGTGCCCAGGTTTACAAATCAATGGTCAGTTATCAAGTAAGCAGGATGCTTGCAGGAATGTCCAGAGGCAGCACTTTTTATTAAAAGGGCGCAGGTTCATTGCTTCTGGTTCACTACTAAATTGTTAAACTACTTTACAGGGTCATATTTTCAAATGACTCTATCCCTAATATTTACTGAGCATGTAACTTATGCTACTAAGTTAGCTACTATTTAGAAGTACTGAAAAGAATCCAATAAAAATTCACTGTTAAACGAAAAAAAAAATCCTGGGATCTACTGAATTCTTATTAACTGTTGCTTATGTTTTATAGAGGCTAAATGAATATAAGTTATTCTCTTGAAGGAGACAGAGTTTACTCACAGTTTATGATGTAACCTTACATGACACATCCACTCAGAAGAAAAAAAAGGACAATTTGTGCGTTTTAACTCAGTACAATAAATAGCAAACAAGACCTCTCAAGGTATCTCCCTACTCAGGCAGAATAGTGAATGTTTAACGTCTACTAAACACACTGAAGGAGAAAAAAAAGGAGGAAGGGGTATCAAATTTAAGACACAACTGCTGTATTTCACATCACTGCATTGAAACTTCTCAACTAAAGTGCCTCAAAATAAGACAATAAAATAAACTCCAGTTCCTTCCTAGTGAAATGTTTTGAGGATGCATTACCTCACTGCAACTTCAGACTTGTCTGAAGTCTTTAGGGGCCATCTGGTCAGCGTACCCCCTGCCTACACCAGAAACACCCAGAAATGTTTTTTTCTCCATTCTCCAGTACCCTTTAATAACCAAAGAGGGAATGAAGACAAAAGAGACAATCTAATCTAGGTCTCTTTGCAAGGTGAGACAGAGACAACTTCTGATAGCTATTTGGGACAATATAACTTCGCCGAGGTCATTTTAAGGATAAATAAATGGAGTAGCTCCACAACTGGAAACTGTTTGTGCCTAGGATTTAAGCAGTTACAGCCAGGGGAAGGAAGTGGGAACAGCTGACGTGGGGTTGCCAAGTTAAATTGATTCAGGCTGGGAGAAGCAGAGCTAGCAAGCAGGATCTCAGTTTCCTGAAAGAAAAGGAGCAGGCTGGGAGCTCCTGACCATGGAAGAACACGGCCCCCAGCTGGTGACCTTCTGGGTCCTCCCTTCTGATCCCTCTTCCTGTCCAAGGGGAACTGGGCAAGTTTTCCACCAAAGTTGGGTAAAAGAGGAATATTTCTTACGCTCCCCAGCTCCATCCTCTTACCTAATTTCAAAACTTCGAAACAAGACTAGGAAACATTCGAGGGGCTGTTTTGTGAACACCCTGGGCCTCACTGAGGAGGTGGGGCTCATCCTTACCCTCAAGCACGCTGCTAAAATAAAGCCGAGCCAGTTCAGGAAGAGAGCTGGCCCATCAAAGCACTTAGGAAATGCATTATACTTGTGCTTACACGTTATGCTTGTAGAAAGGCTCAAGTTAAAAAAAAAACCCTTGATGATCTAATAAGAATCCAGAAAATTCTATTTTTATAGGACATGAAATCTGTGTGCAGACTTAGAAGTATGTGCGATGA